CTTACCTGTAGGTTAAGGCATCACAAACATCACATATCTATAGGTAGTGGCAGTGTACAGCTAGAAATTCAGGTAAGGGGAGGAAAATTTAAAATTACAAGTTACTATATAAAATTGTGAAGTTTCAGTATAAATTAATAATAATTTTTACAATTGAGTTAAAATTATTATTATACCTTCTTAATTGTAAGCATTTTTTAATGCTATTTTCGTATTTTTAATTCTCACCTAAAAAAGATTAAAAACACATATCAAAATAATAATTTAAAATACAATCCAAATAATAATTGTTGAAACAAAAACAATTAAAATAATAGTTTATGAATTTAATCAAGGTTTCTTTGAGCTAGTGGTAAAGCTTAGGCCCAATCTGATCCGGTTTTAAAAACACTTACCTAAAGTATTTAAACAAATGTTGGAACTTAAATATATTAATAAAAAATAAAATAATATATTTTATAAATTAAATTTATTATCCTATTAAAAACTTGATCAAACTAACTGTTGCAGGTTAATTATCTTACTTAAGAGCACATTATTTCATAATAATTATCCAATTTATTCCTATTATTAACCTATAAATGGGAGTTACATGACTATGAGTCCTATAAACAGGACACGTCTTTTTGCTCAAAAAGAAAGAAGTTCCTCCACTTCTAACTTTCTTACCTTTATCTTCAAAATATTTTTGGGTAAAGAATGATGTTTTGAATTAAATGAATCTATAGGTAGGGTAGATTTATAGAGTGTTATTATAAAGTTGTAGCATCTTTGGGACGACATGCTATATATATATATATATATATCTACTGCACCGGTTGATCTATTATTTGCACAGACATAAATCGCCTTGAAGTAAATAAACTTTTTACGCTTAATTTGATGATATGTTTCTTATCGATATTTCTTGATAAATTCACTAATTATTATTTTAGTTGATTTTGTAACGAAAACACAACAATGACATGATGTGGAGATGAAGAAGAATGTTCAAGGAACAACAACAAATATTACAAAGGGCAAGGAACTTACAATTTCAACAAATTGACATTTTTCTTGGCTAAAAGGAAAATCCCCAATAGCTTGTTTGGTTAAGAGGAGAGATAGAGAGAATTTTTTCCTATTTAGATAACAGAAAATTATAGAAGAATGGAGGGGTTTTCTTTATTTTGTTTTAATTTTGTTTTTAGTTTAGTCTAATTAAACAAAGTAAGGCGAGAAAAAGGAAATGAAAGGATATGATATCAAATCAAATGTGGGGAATAGTTTGTTTACAAATTAGCTCTAAAAAAGATCCTGATTATGTGCGTGCTATTGTTGTTTTGGTAATTAATTAATACTCTTATACAGGAAGAAATGCTGGCGGAGGCAAGGCAGTATTTAGAGTGTGCCATTTCCAATGTTTGATTTTCATTTCTTAATGTTTTTTTGGCAAATAATTGGATACCGGACTATCGACTTGAACTATCAGTTTGACATTCTTCTTTTATATAAGATGGAATGCCTTTTTCTCTTTGTGGGTTGCGCGTTTGATTCCAATCTTTGTGTGGGCATGTGGTTTGAGGTAGCATTTGTTTATTGGCCAAATTTTCTATCTACACCTAAATATTATTATTTTCTACTGTCAATATTTTCTAAAATTTTCATTATCGGTCAATATTTCTTATAATTTAAAACTTGTAAAAATCTCAAAATTAACAACCAATTCACGTGTAAATCATAGTGCAAATAGATGGTTTGGTCATTAACTTTTGGGTTTTTTATAGGTATCAAATTCTACAAGGTGTTGAATGGAAATAAAAATTTTAAAGGGTGTTTTGCGAAAAACAATAGTATCTAAAGTGCACAGAGGAGATTTGGGCCATTTGGCCTTGTTTATTATGATAAATAAACAGTGGCTTAGTAGTTTAATTGACTTTATTATTAGTATAAAGGTTTTTATGCCCTCATAATAAGAGTTCAAATCTGTGATTCTCTCTCCATCGCTCTTTCTCTTAGGTTTAAATGACTTCGGTACTTTAAAAAAGAAAAAATAAATATATGAAAAATTAAGAGTTCAAGGACGAAACAGAACCATAGAAAAAAAAAAAAGGAAAGGAAAAGGGGTTAATGTCTTGAACATTTTCAAAGAGCTTGAGGACCAATGGTCCCATACCACTTGAAAGATCAACAGCTCGTGCTTCAAATGGACCGCAGGATTGGTGCTCAAATCTAATGGAGGGGGAATATCTGCTTTTTCTATCAAAAGTATATATATCTCAATAATTCCCAGAGACTAATGGAGCAAACTTAGGGCCGGGGCTATTTTTCACTTTTAAACTACAGAAAAGGATAAATGCACGACCTACAAGTCAAAGAAGGTAAGTTAATTGTTGAGTGAGAAAATCTGAAGTGGAAAATATAACAAACAAACATATGATTGAAATATAAGTTGAGCTATTCTATTTATTATAAATTGGTTTTAGGTTAAATACAAATCTTATATTAAATTATCATATTGTATCAAAACTTGGATTATGTTCCTAAGAAGCTCATTATTAACTCACTTAATAAAATTTGAAATTCATATTAGTACTATATATAAAGGTCTATGTTAAGTCATGTGATGAAACCCAAAAGTACTCCCTCTATTGCCAATTAAATTTAGGTTAGATATAAGTCTTGTATTGTCCATATGCTTAGTTATCACATTTACTTCTATTTTAAGCACTCAAAATGGGTGC